AAATGGGCGTTTTTCGCTCACAGTCGGGAACCCCGATTGTCATCCAAACACGCCCACTTTTTCTAGATTTTTCGTCTTTTTTTGTGCGCTTAAACGCGTTTTCGAAAAAGTTTGTCTGCTTGGGTATACATGAGTCTTAATAGATTAAACAAAAGCGAACGCATTTAAATAAGACTAATCCTCCTTTGAATCACTAAAAGAATCATAATAAATACCGAAAAGTATGTTTGAGTCAGTTCTACCATCACAATACTATAGAAATTTCGTGTATAGTGTCTTGATCAGGAAGTCACATATGTTCTGTCTATTTCCATTATTCCTCTTTTATATCTATCGTTTATTACTATTATTATGTGATGTTGTATACACTTTGTTCTTTGTCATATAATCCCCATATAATATTATCGTTACTATTGTTAACTCACCACGATTGACAATTTTTGTTTAACTAATTTATCATGTGTACGTTCTATCTTTAGTATTAAAGTTGATGGTAAGTCAAATTTGATACATTGGTATGTAGAAAAGTTTGATTTATACTATTGTATTAATTTTTTCAATACATTTTTTGCTGATAATAGAGATGTTAGACTTTCACTCCAGATCGAAACTTCATCTTGAGTTTGGTCCCTAAAATAGATTTTCATTTGTGAGAGAAAAGTAACTGAGAACGCAGCAACTATCATGAAATTAAGCAACGATGATGATGATAATAATAATAATAATAATTATAAAAAGTTTTATTGTGTAGACAATTCAAATTGTACACTAGATCCTTTTCGTTGTGTGAAATGGTGTGATGGAAAACAGTTTCCATTCTGTCAATGTCCAAATGGAAGTATAAATGTTCAACATTCATGTGTATCAACTCTCCATGGATTATGCGATGATATTCGACGATGTCCACCTACTACAACATGTAATGGAACACATTGCATTCAGATAAAGTATTTTAACAACATTCGACTGTTCTGGAATGGTAGTATATCGGTATTCAAATTCACTTTGATGATCGTCATACTAGTCACTATCTTGCTTGGCAGTTTACTTCTCAGTTTTATTTATTACATTTGTCGTTCAACAAAACAACGTGATTCGTTACTGTCGAAAGTACTTCCATTACAAGATAGTTACACCACATTATCGTTATTCAATCATCGAACATGCTCATCGACAAGCAGTGGCTCAATGGCAACTGATTCAACAAAAGCTGATAATGACGACATAAATGCATCGTCAAATAACAACAAAATATATCAAATAACAGATTGTTTGTACTTAATGAATAATGCATTAGTAGGCATAAATGAGAATGTTAGTACCTCATTCGATGATAATGAATTTTATCCAAAAGTTATCGGACGATTGCAAAGTGGAGATGTTCTAATTTCGGCGTGAATTTTTTTATAATAAATATTGTTTTGTTATTCTATTAGACAAAGGCAAGAATAATGCTCGGTTAACTTGAACTGGCGTGATGGCCTAAAACAATAAGGTTCTTTCCAGGGGCACGCCGATACCTCAGAGGCACGGGGG